GGCTGGAGAAGGGGGTTTCAACCATCAGGATGATTAGGAAGGATTTAGGCAAGGCAGAGACTGCACAAAGGAAGACAACAGGCTGCTGACACAACTCCTACTCCTTCCCAACACAACTTTCCAGGAACTGGGGTTGAAAGGCTGGTCTGGGGCCACGTTCAGGTCGTGCCCGTGGGCTCAGCTGACAGCACAGAAACACTCTGGGGGATTGCAGAGGCTCTCCTGAGGATCCTGAACGGGATCACCCTGCTCACCTCGCTTTACCCACGATTACCTCTGTCCCTCGGGATGTGTCACCACACATCCACCACAGGCAGGGCTAGACCCGGATCTCAGGCAGGAGGTGGGACTGATCCCGTGGATCTCCTCAGCCCGACAAGTGTTCATTTGATCCACGCCGCCGTGGCAGGGGGAAAACATGGGGGTGGTGTGGCTGAGCATTGAGATTCTGAAAAGGGTGATGGAGAATTTAATGGATCTTGGCGGCTTAATGCTCCATTTTTTCTTGTGATTCCCCCTCGTTTCTTATCTCTCGTATTTACATAAATTATGTGGACTCCAGGGAAGCTGCAAGGCATAGAAATTTAATCAACCTGAGTCTCAGGAGCCTGGTCAGTGTGCAGCAAAAGGAGGAAAAGAGGGGTGGAAAATGAAAAATAAAATAAAATAAAATAAAATAAAATTAAATAAATAGAAAGAAAGAAAGAAATCATCAGAGCACAGGATGTGTCAAAAGGGACTGTTAATAACACCAGCCCTGAGCCACATTCAGCAAGGAGCTGGATTTCAGGAGCAGGGAAGGGATGACATCACCTTTTGCTGCACACAGATTTTCTTGCAAGCAGGAGGGATCTGGCAGGTGAACAACAGCCAGGGAGGCACTTCCACCCCTCTCAACCCGGCACCGCAGCTCTTCTCCTTCTGGGATGCTGGTCGGGACATCCTGATGTGGGATGTCCTCCTGTAACACCCATCCCCGGGGCCAGGCTCCTTTTTCCCCCCAGTTCTTCAGCAGTGCTGCTAGAGGAGGGATTGGATGAAAGGGTTTGGAAAGAAGTCATTGCAGGAGCGCCCAGCTCCTCCTCGCAGGATGACATAATGCCTGCTGTGGTCTCTGAACTCCTGCTTTGCTGCTGGGCTGCAGCGTGGAGAGAGGCAAACCCACGTCTTGCTAAAGGCTGAGTTCAAGCACGGATGGAAATCCAGGAGTAAACCTGGAGGAAGAGGGATCCATCCCCGATTTTACTACATGATTGTAAGTGCTCCTGCGCCCTCCATGTTCAGCAGGCAGACCTTCCCTTTCCCAGTGCAGCTCACCCTCTGCTTTAGGATATTGGAAAAAAAAAAGTTCCTTTGTTTCAGAGGGATTTTTCCATTTTCTTTTGAGCTAAGTGCTGACATGGGAGATTGAAACACTTGATTTGTAAAATGTCAGTCAAAAAATCCTTGCACTTTTCTGCTTTCTTTGATGCCTTTTTATTTCTAATGCAAAACTGATACCAAAATTCACACTTTGCTTATCTTTTCCCATTAAGCCATTTTTTTTAGTCAAGAATTGTTGGATACTAAAAAGAGGAGAGATTTAGATGAGATACTGGGAAGGAATTGTTCCCTGTGAAGGTGGGGAGGCCCTGGCATGGGGTGCCCAGAGAAGCTGTGGCTGCTCCTGGAAGTGTCCAAGGCCAGGTTGGACGGGGCTTGGAGCAACCTGGGATAGTGAAGGTGTCCCTGTCCATGGCAGGGGGTGGAACTGGATGCTCTTTAAAGTCCCTCCCAACACAAACCTAAATCCCAAACCATTCTGAGATTCCATGGCTGCTTCTCCAAGATGCTGGAATGCTCAGATGGAACACCAGGAAAGGCTTTTTCACAGGAGATTGTGCAGCACTCCGGGAAGTGGGGGAATCTCCATCTTTGTGGAGGCTCTGGAATCATGGATGTTGCCAAGCCCTGGCTGACCTGATCAGGTGGTGGACACAGATGTTCAGAGAGAGACCTCCAGATTTCTCCATACTTCTCTGATTCTCTGCAGCCCCAACCAGACAGGATATCTGCTTTTCCACCTGAGTATTGCACTACACAAAGCCAAGTGTGTGACAGAAAACCTTTGCAGTCCCCTTGTCAACCAAAGCTGGTGTCTGAGCAAAGGAAAATGTGAGGATACAGCTGTGGGGATTTAGGCCTGCCACCACATGCTGCACTCTGTTACTGATCCTGCCCTTCCCCTGCCTGCTTTGCCCCTCTGCCAGCAGGATTAGCCCAAGGAATGCTTTGGAAAAGCCCCATTACATTCCTTCCTTTTCCTTTGCTGCTGACAGGGTGGGAAATCACCCTGGCTGTCAGTGTTGAGGACAGCTTTTATGGGATGCTGGGCTTATCACAGCTCACCTTACCCATGGTGACAAGCTGCAGTGGCTGCATGATCCATCTGAGAGCCAAATGACCCTGCACAAGGGGGACAAGGCCAGAGATGAGCCATTAGATCCAGGGATATTCCTGGCCAGAGTGTGGAAGGGGGCATCCCTCCCTCTCTTGCCCATGAGCTGCACTGACTGCTGCCAAACTGCTCAGGGAATTGGGTCTGGAGACCAAAACGCTGCTCCAAAGTCCATGGAAGCAGGACCAGAGCTTCACTGGAAACAGTGGAGGGATATTTTGACAGCTCATTGTCTTTCATGAGCCAGCTGAGGAGGGGTTGAGGAAACCTTGTCTAGAGTCGAGGGCTTTTTTTCCCCCCTGTTCATTTCCTCCTGCAAAAATCCTTCCTTAAGGTCATTATAACCCTGCATCCCACTGATTTGTGTGGATTGAGCCTACATGGAGTCAGTCCATCACTGACAGCAGAGCAGACACCGGAGCTCCACTGTGACACTGTAGTGGGAGGGGTCAGGCATTGGATCAGCTGCACAGGGAAGTGGTGGAAATCCCCACTGGAATCCCTGGAAGTGTCCAGAAGATGTCACAAGGGGACACGGCTTGGTGGTGAACACAGCAGCGCTGGGTTAATTGTTGGACTCAAAGGAAAAAGAGAATCATCTAAGCAGAAGAAAATCTCCAAAATGGAAACACATTTCTGGGCATTCCCTTGAGTTCCTTCACAGTTAATGGAGGGACACCTGTGCCTAGAGGAGCACAAATGGATTTGTTCTGGGGTAAGAACCTCAGAACCAGGCATATGCTTTACTCACCTAAAGTTCAGCTCAGCTCATTGCATTATCCATTTCTTGCTGCTTTTTCAGCTTTAGCATTTTGCTTATTTAAAGGAACCTTGCAATAAAAGGAATCTTTAAATCTCATCCTGTTCCACCCCCTGCAATGGGCAGGGACACCTTCCTCCAGACCAAGTTGTTCCAAGCCCCATCCACTTTGGCCAAGATGTGTCCAGAATCACACTGGTTTGGTCCCTTAGCCACCAAGTTCAGCTTTTGGTGGCCCCTTCAACCAGGAGCCAAACTTGGACCCCAGATCATTCCTGATGTGTGACTTCATTGCCACAATGCACCAAAGTCTGGGCTTTTCCAAATGTTTGCAGTGATTTATCTCCTGCAATATAAAGAACAGCTTTGTACTGTAGTTTTCTTCAGAAGTTTAATTAAAAAGTTCTCTTCCTTTCTTTCTTTCTGTGCACTGGAAAATGTACAAGGAGAAAGGAGGTGGATAAAAAAAATAGAAGCAAAGTTTAAGCATGCGAATGTTGATTAAAAAATATCAGCCCACTCTCCTGTGAAATGCTAACAATGGTTCCCATGGCTCCTGTCTCCCGAGTCAGAGCAGGCCCAGTGGGTGAACTTTGATTTCTGAAAGCACAATCACTCCTGCAATGGGCACCACTGGTTACTCACCCTCAGCAAGGCAATCTCTGCTCTGTGGAGGAGATAAAATCACCCAGTGAGCTCCAGTGTTTGGAGTGGGATGTCAGTCAAATTCCAGCTTGGAACAAGCTCCACGTCTTCGAACAGCGTGGGAAGGCAGTAATGGGAACAAATCACCAGCAGGGACCGTGGGTATTTTTTCTTCCATTATTTGTGTGGATAAATCAAACCTGGATAGCTCTGAAAGGCAAATCCAGGGGTCTGATGGCATTCTCAAGTGAAATTCCCCATCCCAGGTAAGGGAAATCACTCCAAAGCCCATTCCTGAACCTGTTACAGCACCTCCCACTCCATGCATCCTTGAAGAAACAAATAAACCCTTATCAAGTATCTAATTGTCACCCTCACTTTGCCCACTTCACAGCAATATTTAGCACCTTCACCAACCTGTGGGAGTTTCACAGTGATTATTTTGGCTGGATTGAAGAGCAGTAGCAGCCTCTGTGTTTCTCCAGAGCTTTCTCCTTTACCCCCTCTCTTCCCAACAGCTCAGCAGATCCCCACTCACAATTCACATGAGCACTGGAAAGGCATTCACTCCCCATAAAGATTCCCCAATCCTTTTGGAAACCAGTGCTGCAAGGCACACAGCAGGGTCAGGACAGTGGGAAGAGCTGTAGGTTGTGTATGAGATTTTGGGCCAGCTGCACCACTCCTTGATGAAGAGATCTCATCAAGTGGCTTTGACATCCCCAACAACCATCAGGTGGCCCCAAAACACATCAGGTCTGTGATGCCCTTTGCAGACAGGATGTGGGATGGGGACAAATCATCCCGCACAGTTTCACTCCGACCAATTCTGTGGCTAAAACTGCTTTCAGCTGGGGCAGATTTTGATGATGCCCTGGGAAAGCCAAGACAAACCCATCCCTGTTCAGGATTTCAGGGCACTGGGCAATTTCCTGCAGGCACAAGCATCAGGCTCAGCACAGGCTGCCCTGCAGATTTTAACTCAACTTTTGAGTAGCATTTGCTGAGAAACTTGAAATGGGCCATGTTTGGGACTAAAAAAAACCACAGCTGTGGTTGGCCAGGTTTAAAGTCCACCAGGAATATGTTGAGTAACAGCAGGTGGGTGCAAGAACAAGGCAAGCACACAGGGATGCATCCCAGGATGCTTCTGAGATGGATGTGCTGCTGTTGATTTAATAACAGAATGTTCCTTGGTGGTTGAGTTTCTCTGTTATTCATTTTTCTAAATCCTTGGCATTATGAGGAGTTGCCCAATTTAGCTGTGCTTCATAGAAAAAAAAGAAGCCTTCTTTTTGCTGGGTTTGAACTGTCACCCAACTGACCCATATAGAGAGAAATCCTTCATTGCAGGGGACTCTGGATTTTGCAACTCTTTATCTTAGATGACATCAGCTCTCCCTTTTCTGGGCTGAAGAATCTTGGTCTCTGTGACATGTTTGCCTGGAGTCCTCAGCATAAGAAGGATGTGGAGCTGCTGGAATGAGTCCAGAGGAGGCCGTGGGGATGCTCTGAGGTCTGCAGCCAGGCTGGGAGAGCTGGGGATGTTCACCTGGAGAAGAGAAGGATCCAGGGAGAGCTCAGAGCCCCTTCCAGAGCCTAAAGGGGCTCCAGGAGAGCTGGAGAGGGACTTAGGACAAGGGATGGAGGGACAGGACACAGGGAATGGCTTCCCACTGCCAGGGGGTAGGGATAGATGGGAATTTGGGAAGGAATTCTTGGCTGTGAGGAAGGTTAGGCCCTGGCACAGGTCCTTCCCAGAGAAGCTGTTGCTGCCCCTGGATCCCTGGAGGTGTCCAAGGCCAGGTTGGACAGGGCTTGAAGCAGCCTGGGATAGTGGAAGATGTCCGTGCCCATGGCAGGGGGTGGAATGAGATTATCTTAAAGATCCCTTCCAACCCAAACCATTCCCTGAATGTACAGAAACCGTTCCATCACCCTGATCTCCTTCACCGTCCTCCTCTGAATATTTTCTTGCCCTGCATCTCCTTTGGGAGATGAGTGAGGGCCACAGGCACGCTGCAGGCAGCACCCTGAACAGCACAGCAGCAGCAGCAGCAGCAGCAGCAGCAGCAGCAGCAGCAGCAGCAGCAGCATGGTTCCCTGCTCACCCCCTTCCCTCCCCAGCCCTCCCTTTTACCTGATTTTGCTCTTTCTGACCCATTCCCAGCTGCAGAGGCCGCGGTGGCTGCAGGGCTGGCAGCAGCACATTGCAGCTGTCTGGCTGCAGAGGATGTGGAGCAGCAAGAAGGTTCCCAGCCCTCCCTGTGCTGCTTTCCCCCCCTCTCCTCCCTGCCTGGCTGCGATTGCTCTGCCTCCTCTGGCACAGATGGCTGGAGGTTTTCCTGAAGCTCAAATCCCAATGTAAGGACTCCCAGGCCCCCTGTTCCTGCGTGAGGCTCAGGCAGTTGTTGGCCACTGGGGCCATCAAGCAGCTCCTCAGCCTCCAATCTTCCCGTTGACCAAGACTGGGTTTTGTTACAAACAGGTTGGATTTAATTAGGAGCAGCAAAACATTTTGATTTATGCTTCCTACCCACCTTACCTCCTCCCCTGCCTCTCTGCCTCTCCAGCTTCACGCTTGTCAGAGCAGATATTTTTAATATATATATATTTATCACAAGCCGCTCCTTCAGCGCTACAGGCAAAGCTTTTAGCAGGGGAGAAGATGCCCGGCTTACAAGTAGCTCTCCAATTACTATTGCTTGCTTTAGTGATTTTCTAAGAGAGGCAAAGTGCTGGATCCTGGCTCTTTACCTTTCCTCCACAGCAAAATATTCACTGCTTCCCCTGGTATCATCCCCCAGCTCTCCTGGGTGGCACATCTCCGTGTGGAGAATGTTTACTATTTGTCCTGATTTACACTCAGTCCAGGGAGGTGATTTCTGGCTGCTTTCCCCCTTCCCCAAACAACTAGGCATGAATAAAATCCCCCCCTGGCCTGCTAGTCTTGAGATTATCAAAATATGAACTAAATCGCAGGGCTGGGGTGGCAGGGGGGGAACCTCTCATCAACCACAATTTGTCAGATCCGTGTCTGAGCTTGGATTCATGAATTGATGTGAACAAGATTCCTTCGTCTCAGCCCAGAATCCACGTGTGGATCTGTCTATAATCCAATGAGTCACTTCAATGCTCTTTTTAGGTCAAATTTAAAGCAACACCTCCTCCCAGAGCAAAGCTGGGGGGACGGGAGTGGCAGAGAAGGGGATGCAGGGATGGGATGCAGGGAGGGAGCGGCTGAGCACTGGTCCCATCTCACATCCACGGCAGGAGAGGCTCCTCCATCCCTCCCTCCCAGCATCCAGGAGCAGAGATAAGATCTCTGCTGCCCTGGCTCCGGGACGCTCTGCCCAGACCCGCCGTCTGCAGCTCGGGAGGGAAACCAGAGAAGGGCAGGGGGGAATGGGAGCACGGAGGGAGATGCCAGGATCTGAGACAAGTTCAGCTCGTGTAACATCTCCAGGAATGTCAGGATGGGGAAAGGATAGGGGGAGCTTGGCCATGGTCTCCTGATGCCTCCATGAGGAGCAGCAACCTGGCAGAGCAAATTTCTCCTTATCTTCAGCTGCTTCCTCGCATCATCCGTGAGCAAACCCTTTGCCTTTCCAGTGACAACAATTCCATCTGTATGAAGCTACATTCATTTTATTTTACTTTCATTTAAAAAAATTTACTTTATTTTATTTTATTGTACTCTATTTTATTTTATTTTATTTTATTTTGTGTACTTTTATGATTTATTGCACTGTGATAATGTCGGACAGCGATGGGTCACTCACTATGAACAGCAGGCACTGAATGTGAAGTTTAAAACAAGGAGATACAACCAGGAAGAATAGTTTTGCCAAGAAGTGACATTCCCTACATTTCTAAAAAGGGCTTTTCTAAATAATTTCAAAGGTCTTTTATACAAAACTATCAAAATACTCATTTATTTACTCCACTTTGACTTCCAAACTGAATTCCCATCTTTACATTAGGCAGCAGTTCCTGGTCTCAACTCTCTGCCAGCAGGAGATTGTTCATATAGATGTAGAAATGAATAAATAAACCATGTACATGGTCATATATATGATATATAAAAACATATATGGTTTACCTACATAAATATATAGCTCATAAGTCAGATATTTTCTTTTATGTGTACATGCCATATGCCTCTCTATATACAGGTATATGCACCTCAAATGAATAAATAAGCCATAGATTCATATAAGTTTGCACATATATATGAACCTACATTTATGTTTAAGGTATAAATTTATATACATGGTGTGTTTTCTCACTGTACATTTTTCCCTGGAATGCATTGTCCTGCATGGCACTCATAAATGTAAAAAAAAAAAATCAAAGCTGTTTAAAAATTAATTCCAGAATAGTTAGTTTAAAAGGTTTGTGGACAAGATCCTGGGAAAGATGAATGTGGTGCGAGGGTGTGGTGTGGGAAAGAGGATTTGGGTGAATATGGAGGCAATTTCTAACCAGGAGAATTACTGGACCAGAAACGTGGGGTTCACCCCACTTGGTACTTTGGCAATGGAGACATTTGTCAATGAGGTATTTAATATAAATTAGTTCATAATTTATCTCAGATTGAGGTAGGGGTCTGGGAGCTTGACATGACCCATCCCAAATCCCCCATGTCCTGGGCTGATCCCCCAGTGTGGGCAGCAGGGCAGGGGAAATTTTGCCCTCTCTGCCCCTCTCTGCCCCCACCTGCAGAGCTGCCCCTGCCCTCGGACAGGAAGGACCTGGAGCTGCTGGAGAGAGTCCAGAGGAGGCACCAGGATGTTCAGAGGGATGGAGCAGCTCAGCTGTGAGGAAAGACTGAGACAATTGGGATAGTTCAGTTCGGAGAAGACTTTGGAATGAGATAATTGTGGCCTTCCAGTTCCTGAAGGAGCCTACAAGAAACACGGGGAGAGACCATTTACATGGGATGGTGGGACAAGATACAGGGAATGGCTTCCCATGGCCAGAGTTCAGGGTTAGATGGGATATTGGGAAGGAATTGTTGCCTGAGAGGGTGGTGAGGCCCTGGCACAGGGTGCCCAGAGAAGCTGTGGCTGCCCCTGGATCCCTGGAAGTGTCCAAGGCCAGGTTGGATGGGCTTGGAGCAACCTGGGATAGTGGAAGGTGTCCAACCTCATCCACCTTCTCCCCATCCCAGAGAGCAATTCCTCCACAGGATGACATTGCGGGAGGCTGGCTGTGTGACAGGAGCCACCCTCTGCCCTCGCCCCTTGCTCTCCCTGGGCTGCAGAGGGTTCCCATCTGACATCAGACATCTGGTGTTGGAGTCAGGAATTACCTGGAGCTGTGAGCACCAACTCCCCAGAAACCACAAGGTGCTGCCAATATCTCAGGGAGACCTGCAGTCCTCAAACCATGACAAAAACATGGACCAGGAGGAGAAGCCAAGGGCATCCCCCCCATCCCACAAGGTGTGGCTGCACCACAGTATTGCCTCCACCCACCTATCAGAAGTGTTCCACACAGACCTCCTCATCCCTGGATCCTCACCCAGCCTCTCCTCCTGCTTCTGTGACCCAACCCTCACCTTCAGGGGTGGTGACACCATCCTGGAGCTATGTCAGGCTCTAGGAACCAGGGCTGAAGCCACACCGACTGCAGGTGGCACTCCCAGCATGTCTGCAAAGGGGCCTCTTCCCAGGAAGTCGGTCAGGAAATTTTCCCATTGCCGAATGATGAGCCTAAAAGTTTTTGACAGCGTCCCTGGGAGGCACTGTCAGCTGTGATTGTCTTGGATGTGGCACCCCAGGCACTGGCAGCCTCTCACTGATTTGGGATGAGAGAGGATGGGGCAAGGAAGGTTTCATTTATTTCTGCTTTTCCTTCTCCACCTGCCTGTCCGTCCAACTCTGTAGTGGTGTGGAATGGCACGAGCAATCCCACAGGACTTGCTGTGCACCAGGAAGTCTGGGAGACATCCTGCCAGCTCCCAGGAGGCCCAGCAGAGCTCTCAGAGCATCACTGCATTTTCCCCCACAGGGTGGGGGTCCCTGCACATCTGCAAAATGCTCATTAACACAAGGGAGGCATTTCCCAGTGACTCTGTTTGCTGTCCCCCGAAGGGAGATACCCATTTGTCAAAATGAAATGCTTTAAGTGGGAAAACACCAGTGTCAGGAAAGGCAATCAGGAGTTGTCAGCATGGATTCACTGAAGGGAAATCATGTTTGACCAACCCAGTTGCCTTCTAAGATGGGACAACCACCTGGATGGATGAGGGGACAGCAGTGGGTTTTGTGTACCTGGACTTCAGCAGGGATCGTGACACTCTCTCCCATCATTTCTGTTGGATAAACTCAGGAAATGTGGACTGGAAGAATGGATGAGTTGGACTGAGAACTGTCCCACAGATGTGGTGCTTAGGGACATGGTTTAGTGCTGGACCTGGCTGTCTTAACTTACAAGCTGGATTTAGATCTTGAAGGTCTTTTCCAGCCTCAATGATTCTGTGGTTCCGTGAGCTGGCTGAACTACAGAACCCGGAGGGTCACGATCAGTGGAACAGGGTCTGTCACTTGTGGTGTCCCACAGGGTTCAATACTGGGCTCAGAATTGTTTAACTTGCTCACTAATGACTTGGATTGTGGGAAATGGATTTGTAAAGAAGTCTTAAAACTTAACAGAAAGTTCATATAGTCTTGTATATTTATATGAAAATACTGAGATATGGTGTGTTGACTTAAGAGGGTTACAGAATGGAGATGATAATGTTGAGAGAGAGATTGAACTAAAACAAGTTTTAATAAGTTTCAAAATATGGCCTTGCAGAAAAGACCAGCTATTTTAGAGAATTAGAGCTGTGAAAGATGCATAGTAGCAAGATAAAGTAGAGAAAAAATATAGGTGATTGGTGTTGGAATAGCGGCATTGTGTGGCAAAAGCTAATAAGATAGAAAACATTTATAAAGTATTGTAACCAAAAAATAAGTTAGCTTCTGATGCAATGGCGCTGAATTTTACCTCTCTTGTGTGTCACTATTCATCAAGAGTGATAATAGAATAAAATATTTTAAAACACCTCTCAGATACACCATCTCTGTAAAAGCTAGAAAAACCAACACTAGATGAAGGGACAAGTACCTCCTCAAAAGCTGGGAGGAGCAGCTGATCACCCCAAGGGCTCTGCAGCCCTTCAAGAGGTACCGTGGTGTGTTGGAGAAATGGTCAGAGAAGTGTCTGAAATTCAGCAAAGGGAAATACAGGTTCTGCACCTGAGGAGGAACAACCCCGGGTTCCACCACAGGCTGGGGGTGACC